TTATTATATTTAGTTTACTTATATTTTATTTATTAAATTAGTTAATTTATAATATAGTAATTAATTAATTATAATAAAAGAAATTTTATATAAATAGATAGACTTTTTGCTTATATTGTAAATTAACTCTTTTGCAAATATGAGTTTTAATATAAATAAAGGAAATAATTAAAACTTATTCTTTTTACCTCTTTAAATCTTTATACATTCTGATATAATCCTTATATATTATTTATAATTGAGTTTGTCATTTGAATTCTTTAATTAAATTTATTTATAATTTCATCTTTTAAGTCTTTATATTTGATGAATTTGTTAAAATTTAATACATAAATTTGGTAAAGTTAAGAGTTAGGCAGATTTTAATATTTTAGCTGTAGTAAACTACAATTAAGACTTCAAATAAAAACTTAAAGATATAATTAATCTAAATTAAAGAATTCTATGATTATAGCATGTGATCTTACTTAGGTAAAAGATGTCTATAATAAAATAATTTTAAATAATATATATTACTACCTTAATTATAATATTAAAAAAAAATTAAGTATTAAATAATAAGAATACAAGTAGATTTTGAAGATAGGTATTGTAATAATTAGTTTATGAATATTAGATTATAAAGTATTATTTGATTATATTTGTATTATCTAGATTATGAAGTAATAATCAGATTATATCTATATTATTCAAATTATGATATAGTAATCTTAACCTAAAATAAATATTATTTCTGATTAATATTATTTATATGATTATGCAAATAATTTATATCTGCAAAGTCTGAATTGACTAAAGTTATAGCTACTCCCTTACTTTTGGCTCACCTAGTATAACCAATTCAGTGAGTATAAGAAGCTGGATTCTGCAGAATATTGTAATTAATTACATAGTCTACATCGTCCATATAGATATCATATCTTACTAGCAATTAAAATTCATATATATTCATTTATGTATACCTAGTTAGCATAAATCATTTGCATAATAATGTAAATAATAGAAGATAAATCAGATATATTCTGAGTTAAAAAATAAATAGCTTATTTTAATAGAATCAAAAATGATAACTAATACTTATGTATATTACTATTTTAATAAAAGAAAATTTCTAAGATTTTACAAGTATTTAAATATGTATCATGTAAAATTATTGTTATCAATAACACATCCCTTCATCTTTAATTTTTACTATTTATTTTAGAAACAGAATTTTTTCATATAGGCTAATTTGATTCTTTGGCTAATTAAAATCAATTTATTTACAATAATTAAAAATTGATTGGCGGAATTGGTTTTTAATTAGCCAAAGAGTTCAAATTAGCCCATATGCTCGGTAAAAAATTCTTATTCGTTACACCTTATCCGTCACATGATCATCACACAGGTAATTTCTTAATTTCTTAATGCCGGTAAAAGCAATGTTAAGGCTGGCTGTGTCCCGTGACATGTGTTCAAACATCCGTGTATAAATAGAAATTGCCTTAATAAAAAAAATTAATACTTATTTTTAAATATTTGCAAGCATATTTGCCTTTTAGACATAGACAATCAAATAAAAAGGATAATAAAAAAAGTTGTCTTACAAATATAATATAAAATTTATTCAATTTAATAAACATTATATTACTTTTGCACGTTAGATAAATTTTTATTAAAAATATAAAAATTTATATAAAGTGAACTTTTAATTTTTGAGATATATGTTTGTGACGTCTGAACAATAACTGAAAAACTTTCTGCGATGCAGGCTGATTAAGTGGTTTACTTATACGGACCACTCTATATAGGCCAAAGGCATTTTAGTTGGTTACTGATTTTGCGTATTACTTAATAAATTGATATACGCAATAAAACTTGGGCAAATTTTTATTCTCGATATTGATGAATAAATATATAATAAAATATAATTACATAACCTTACTACAAAGTTTCTAGTAACGTATACGATTACTTCTTAATTAATTATTAATATTAAATAATTTAACTATAAATTAATGTTCATTCAAACATCGTTATTTTTGTCTAATTTAAAGAATGAATTTAATAATCTTACAATAAATGTAGTGTGAGTCTTATTTCGTTTTAGTATTTTGATTTAGCCAATTCAATCCTTCATATAAACCTTCCCCGGTGGTAGCGCAAGAAGGATGAACATACCAAGATCTCTCTTTCATACGATGTAATCCAAGTTTTTCTGTTACTTCAGCAGGAGACATTGCTATAATATTAAATTTTTTCGTTAACATCCATTATATACAATTATGAATTAACAAGTTTTTGAAATGTGAAAGATGATATACCTCCCGGTAAATCTTGTTTATTGGCAAATACTAATAATAAACAATCTCGCATTTCGCGATCAGATAGAATTCTATGCAATTCTTGACGTGCTTCATCAATTCTATCGCGATCTTGGGAGTCAATTACAAATATAAGTCCTTGAGTACCAGTATAATAATGACGCCATAGTGGACGAATTTTGTCTTGACCACCAACGTCCTAAAAAAAAAAAATAAATAATAAAAAATTATCAATTTTTTTATTTTTTTTTATTTAATATATTTAATGACTAAGATACTAACCCAAACATTGAATTTGACATTCTTATATGTCACAGTTTCCACGTTGAAACCGACGGTAGGGATTGTTGTCACGGATTGATTAAGTTTTAGTTTATAAAGAATTGCTATTTGATTAATTCAAGGTTAAAAATAATAAAGTATTTAAGGTAAAGATGCGAATGCTCATTAGTCTTAAGATAAATGCATTCAAAATAATAGAGAAAGCATAAAAGAATTGAGTCGAAAACAGTTTCAAGTGTTATAAAACTGATAAAAAGGATACTTGTTTTTCCAGCAGCATCTAGACCAAGCATCAAGATGCGCATTTCTTTGTTACCAAAGATCTTGGCCAAAGCTTTCGAAAGTGACCCACCCATTCGTAAGGAAGTTAGTTAATGTAAAAGGTGATTCCTCCTCTGAAAAGAAAAAGGTCCGCGAAGAAAATAAGTCGGAAGGAGAGAAATTTAGTAATTTTAAAAATGTAAAAGGAAGGAATTAAAAAGAAAGGATTAATAAGGGAGGATATAACGCGGAAATTTAAACTGGTGGTGGAAAATGTCCACTAATTAAGAAAGCACCAGAGAGGAAGAGGGGGTTTAAGGTTTTTAGTACTTTGTTTGAACATAATAATCTTTAACCCTTTTTATTTTTGAAAGTTATATAAAAAGAATATTAAGCGAAATTTTAATTCAAACATCGTACCAAGAGAACACAGAATTTCTATTGGTAGAGCTAACCAGTTTAAAGGCACAAAGGATAAGCAAATTTCCTTTCTAAAAACACAAGCGATCATTTTTGCCAATCATATAGATCACATAATTAGACATTTAAGGTATGAAACTTCGGGCGAAATCCGCTGCAGATATTCGGACGAAACTTAAGTTGATTCAAGTTTCTCAAAAATATAAATTGTTTTTTTATGATTATATAACTGCAGCTATAAACTTTTAATTTATTAGAGAGCTAAGCTATTATAGTTCTTGTTTAGCTTCCTTATAGGGTTAGGGTATTTTATACTAATCAGATCTTTATAAGTCTTAATATATTAATGATCATAGATAAGATTAGTAATATTATCTGATAAAATCTGATACTTTGTATTTATAAAACATAAAACATTTCAGATGTTATTTATTTAATATTTAAGAAGCGTTATCAGTAAAATTACATTACAGATCATATAATTTCAAAACTTGTTTCACTAACAATATTTTCATTTATTTATGTTTAAATTTTTTTTCTAAAAATATATATTGAATTTATTATCAATTAAGGTTTAGATGTAGCATAACTATAGCATAATATTTTATTGATTTAGTTATAATTCTTTAGAAAGAATATATTATTTTAGATCAGACTGAATTGACTAAAAATTACTAATCAGAACATTATCAAAATAATCTATTAGTTTTATAGTTTATCTTAATTATCTAAGTGTATTTTAATAATATTTTCTTTACTTATAGATTATTTTCTTTTAATTCAAGTTTATCTTCTAAAGTATATGTAATGTATAAAAATAAAGTTGTAACTAGTTATAACTGGTGATAAATAAGCATTACAAGGTTGTAACTAATTGTAACTGGTGACAAATAAGCAAATATGATTTAAATTAATTGCAACGTTATCTTTAGTAATATAATATATTAAATATTTATTACTTATGATTTATGAAAAAGTAATTAATCAGTTAGTCACAAAAATTTTTAAATTCTTAATATTAGATAATTATATGATAATTAATAGAAATTATTATTTCACTAATTATTACTTTTTTATCTTTAAAATAATAATTTTTTTACTATATTTAATTATTATTTATATAATAGCTAATTTTGAAAATATAACAGTTTAGATTCAAAACAAATCTTATTTATATATTTTTATTAAAATTTATAAAATCTAGTATTTAATACTCAATCAGAAGACATTTATTTATTGAAGATAAAGATTAATACGTGATTATATTAATAGTTGTAAAATAAAAATTAAATTAAATATTTTTAAATAAATTTTTTATTTTTATTCTAATTCTTTTTAGCCTTTATATTACCTAAATTATTAATCTTAATAATGAGATATATTTTTATTAGATCAATATTTCTTGATTATATTAAAATTATAAAAATAAAGAAAGCATTATTGATTGTATATAAACATTATTAAAAGAAGTTGAATTAATGATTATATACTTTATTAAATGATAAATTTTGAATATGTCTTATAAGAAATTTATATATAAAAATATATATATAAATAAAATATTTTTGATATTTGTAAATATAATATAATACTGTCATCAGGTTCATTTTTGTTTATCTTAATGTCTAAGTTGAAAAGCTATAGCAGCTGATTCTACACGTTAGAGTTTCTGACCTTAGAATTTTTTCTAAGTCTTACAGGTATCTGTTATACTTGAATCAACTCAGCAATTTATCACGTCTTAGAATTTAAGATATATTTAATTGAACTCATAATGACGAACTCAATAGCAAGTTAGTGTAATATATCACAATAATCCTAGGTGAAAGACAACGTTAAAGGGAAAAGTAGTTTGTATAGATTTAAATTAATTCCTTTATTTATAACTTGAAACTCGTATGAAACTTACAAATGAGTTAATAAACTTGCAAAGGAGTTAATTTACAACTTAAGCAAAAAGCTATTCTATTTATACAAAATAATTTTGATATGGTTAGCTACTTGCTACATTATAAATAAACTAAATATAGATATATTTCTCAATAAAAGTATACGTAAGTATAATAAAATAATAAAAATAATATAAATAATAAAAAGAAATAAAATAAGTTATAGATATTACAGAAATTATAAACGAAATATAGTAATCAGAATAAACAGACTATTCAGAAAATACAGAAGAAACAAGCATATCAGGCGAAACAGAAATTATTGCTGATTACTGTTTGGCACAGCAGTAACATCATCTAATGTGAGGTCATTATTGATTAATAGATCCCATGTGATATTTGGAGTTGCAATTTCTTCTATTGATAATACATAATTATTACATATATAAAATAAGGAAAAAAACAGAATTACAAATATATAAAAATATAAATATTAAGTATATTGTATATGTAATTTATATATATAAATTATATACGTTTTATCAGTATATTTTATATATGTAATTTTATATAATTTATATATAATTAATTTATTATAATATTACTAAATTTATAATTTATTAATATATAATTTAAAATTACTTTAATTTAAATAAATTTATTTATTTATTAAATAAAATATAATGACAATAATAAAATACAAATATTTATAATAATAAATATTTTTAACTTAATATAATATAAAAGAAAAATATAATAAGTAATATTTAAAATATTAGTTAATAATATATAAATAAAGTAATAAAATAATGATATTAGTAATAATATTTAAAAATATAAAAATAAAATTAGTAATATTAGTAATATATAAAATATTAAAAAAAGAAAGTTAATAATATTAGTAATATATAAATATTAAAAAAAAAGATAGTAATATTAAAAAAATAATATTTAAAAAATATATATACTTGATAAAAAGAAAAGAAAAAAAGAAAAAAGAAAATATAAAATATTATAAATAAAAGAAAATAAGTAAATAAATAAATAAAAAAAATATTTATATAATAGTTATTTTAGATGATCATATATAACTAATGATAGTATTATAACTAATTGCAACTATGTGATGCTTATTTATCACAAATTACAATTAGTTACAATTCAATTTTTATTAATATTACAACTAGTTACAACCCTATGATACTTATTTATTACTGATTATAACTAGTTGTAATACTATTTTTAAGTATAATATAAATAGATCACATGATTTATTAATTTATAAGAATATGTAAATAAGTTAAAAACATAAAGTAAAAGTTGCAATAAACTGGTGAAAGAAGGAGAATAAAGATTTTTTTTTTGTAAACTTTTTATTAAATTCAAAATGAACTTTACTATTAATAAAAGTTTTTAATTTTTTTATTAAATTATTATAATTAAAATACATATTTTAAAAGAATAAAATTCTGCATAGAAACTATAATTGTAATTTTAATTATTATATAAATTACTATTTTATGTAATCTTAAAAATACAATAAAATCAATAAAAAAATTTTTTAAATTTATTAATTATAATAAAATAAAATAATAACTAAAGTTGTTAAACAAAACTTAAAGGTTTTGCAAATTATCTAAATAGAAAAAGGAAAATTTAACAAAATTATATTAAACCTTATTAAAAATCTGCAAAATTCTAAAAAAGGTAAAACTATATCAAAGCTTATAAAAATGCGAAACTATATCAAATCTTAGTAAAAAATTATCAAAACTATAGTTTAGATATTTTATCAAATTTAAAATGAGTTTAGACAAGCAATCTTAATAATAATTTTTAAATACTTTTATTTGATACTTTTTTTATAAGTGTGATAATTTCACATTATATATGATTATTTAATAAATTATACAAATAAATATTTAAAAAAAAACAAAATAATTCAAAAATTAATATACTTACAAAAACTATTACACAATGAATATTAAATTAATCTTACTAAAAAATTATATATATATGCTTTTGAATTTATAAAATATATTTACTTAATATGTAGTAAGAGGTTTACTTTAATTAAATTAAAAGTGTGACTCATTTAGTAAAGTTATAAAAAATTTATTTTTACATAAATATTAAACTAATCTTAATGAAAATTAAATGTAAATAGTATTGAACTTGCTAAATAACTTTACTTAAAAATAAAAGGTGATTAACTTTAACTAAAGTATTTAAATTATTTTGTGAAGTTAATAAAAGTATTGTAATATTAATAAAATTATAAAAAATACATATTATTACACAAATATTAATCAAATCTTAAAGCCAATTTATATTAATTCAATTATTAAAGGTAAAAATAATAGGATACTTTATATAATCTTAAACTTGTATATATATAGTCCTTTACTTTATTTTAGATTAATAAAAAAAAATAAGTATTTAAATTATATAAAGAAGAAAAATATATATTGTTAGAATAAAAAATTAAAAAAATATTTATATTAATAATATTTTTAAAAATTATAATATTATTTGATAATTTATAAGAATAACTATAGCTTAAATTTATATTTTTAATTAATATTAGAATTTTTCTTTAACTATAATATATATTTTTTAGATTTTATTAATTTTTATTTATAAAATTTATTTTATATAGATAAATATTAAAAACTGATTATATTAAATATTAATAACTTTAATTTATTTATTTTTTAATAAATTATTTATATATAAAAAAAATTAATATTATAAATTTAAAATTAAAATTATAATAAATAATTTAT